CATAGTCCCAGGGAGAATCCGACGGCCACGCTCAGGCGGAGGCCACCTCTCTACCGCCAGCCCGAGGACGTGGTTGATGTGCCCCCTGAGGTTGTGCACGCACAGCCCGCATGGCCGCACGGAAGCCGTTTCAGGACAATCCGAGTGAGGGAGAGGCGGCATTGCCAATGGAAACCAGGGCGATTCGGTGACAGAGGGTCCAGGAAGCTGAAGTGCCTCTGCCTCCGAGAATAAGAAGACAGGGTGGGAAACGGTATTTCTGGTGAAGAAAAATTCCAAAATGGAGGTGGGGGGCAGGATGTGAGCTGTTAGGGCTGGAAGTGGGGGGCCACACTGCTCTGCGGGGAGCTGGCATCTGGGTGGGTCCTGAGTGTGGGAATGGAGTTCAAGGGGGTGGGGGATTGCGGGTAACAGGACCACACGTACCGTGAGGGGCCAGGGAACAAGAATCTCACCCAGGAAGCCTGGGCTGAAGCCAGCTGGGAAGAAGCTTCGGCCACTCCCAGGCAGCTCTCAAGAAACCTCCGGGAAACACCCCACCTGATGCAAGCATCCTGGGCTGCCCCTGAAGTCCAGCTCAGCCTGATTCCCACACTGGGAGTGCACATGGTGTTGCACTGTTGGGCAGGATGTTCCTTTCGGGAAGGAGAAGCTGGGACTGGAGAGACCCGGGCCAGGCTCCGAGCCAGAGAGGGGCCTCTCTGTGCCTGCAGTAAACCGGAAACCAACAAGCACCCTTTTCTTCCAAAGGAAGAGCAGTCAGCAGCATTGCCTGTGGGTGCGGATGAAGGGGTCGGGCTGTGCTCTCCGTGGAGCCACGGGGATTGGCCTCTCCTTTTCCAGGAGTGTTTGCTGCAGTTGAAATTTCTCCCAGTTTCATCTGAAATGATCTACAGCAGTTCTGGCTGCTCTTGGTGACAGGGACAGGGGTGTTCTGACAACAGAGGGGCCTTTGCAGCCCCTCACAGGCCCTGCGGACAGCTCTGCTGGGAACCCAGGCCTGGGTTCCTCTTCTTTTCCTTTTCCTCTTGTTTCTGCCACAAGGAAGGTCTGCCCTGCGGGGCAGGCTGGGGCTGCTGCAGGTGTGGGAGAACAGCAGAGCCTCCTCCTCGCCACTCCAAGGGCAGCGACTGAACGGTGGCCCACAAAATCTAGACCTGGCACAGTGGCTCATGCCTGCAAACCCAGCACGTTGGGAGGCCAAGGCAGGCGAATTGCTTGAAGCCAGGAATTTGGGGCAAGGTTCTTTGCAGATGTGGTTAACGATCTTGACATGAGAGCATGCTGCATTACACAGGTGGGCCCTAAATGGCATCACAAGCATCATAAAAAGTGACACACAGGAGAGGAGGAGGTCATGCAAAGGTGGAGGCAAAGACCAGAGCGATGCAGCCACAGGCTAAGGAAGCTGGGAGCCACGGGAGCTGGGAGAGGCAGGAAGGACCCTCCCCAGACCTTTGAAGGCAGTGCAACCCTGCCCACACCTGGCTGTTAGACATCTAGCCTCCAGAACTGTGACATACTAAACTTCCATGGCTTTAAGTCGCAGGTTTATGGGAATTTGTTATGGCAGCCCCAGACAATGAATACACCAGGTTTACTAAGAAAGAAAAAAGGAGAAGATGCACAAGATCCTGGCCTGAATAAGCTGTCGCTCTCCTGAGTTTCTCTGCCCTGGCGGCCTTTCCCAGCTTGCCACTCCTCCCAGGAATGCATGGGCCCCCCTCGGCCTTCATTTGTGCTGACTGGGGTGGCTGTCCTTTCATAGCTGTCCTTCTCTGTCCTCCTCTGTCCATCACTGTCCTCCACTGTCCTCTGCTTTCCATCACTGTCCTCCGCTGTCCATCACTGTCCTCCACTGTCTGTTGCTGTCCATCACTTTCCATCACTGTCCTTTGCTGTCCATCACTGTCCTCTGCTATCCTCCACTGTCCTTTGCTGTCCATCATTGTCCTCCACTGTCTTCCGCTATCCATTATTGTCCTTTGCTGTCCATCACTGCCCGTCACTGTCCATCACTGTCCTCCATTCTCCATCACTGTCCTTCACTCTCTGTTGCTGTCTATCACTGTCCTCCTCTGTCCATCACTGTCCTCCTCTGTCCATCACCTTCCATCACTGTCCATCACTGTCCTTCATGCCTCGGTAGGACTATCAGCTTTTACTCTCTGGAAACTGGAGGATATTTTCCTGCCTGGCTGCTCCAGCTCTGCCCAGAGTCCCCAAGGTGGGCAGGCCGTGGCATTCCGGCCCCCATTCCCCAGTCCCTTAGGCGACACACCTGTTGAGAGCCTGAAGACAGCCCACCTGTCCTCAGGTGTGACTCACGCTCACTGCAGTTTCCTGCTGCCCCGAAGTCCAGCTCTGGGCAAGGGTGGGGGCCTCCGACTACGGTCTTCCCATGTGGGATTCTGTGTAAGGATGGAGACGTGGTGCCATTCCACTTTTAAAGCTGTCGCTCTTAGGGAGAAAGAATTCTAACAAGAGCGAGGGCAGATGAAGTGTCTGAGAAAACCTCACCACCCACAGCTGGCCAGGCCCCAACAACTGACCTGGGCCAAGTTACAACTGTGTCACCCGTGAACCAGGTGTGGAAACGGAACCAGCCTCTGGAGGCTGCTCTAACGTCCATGCGGGCGACGCTGTGCCTGGGGTCCCCGTGGCTGGCTGCCGCCATCAGTGTGCACCAAGGCATGTGGAGTGTGGGCTGTGCATGGCGTGGGCCCTGTGCAGACCTGCTCTGCTGAACTCTCAGAGGGGCTGTCCCGACCCCTTCACCAGAACTCGTAACTTTGGAGCAGGTGATGCCCACGACGGCTCCTGGCTCTGACACTGGCTTCTGCAAGGGGCACTGGGGCATCGTCGCATCCTCAGCAAGTGAAGGCTTTTGCTTTCAAGAGGAAGAACAGGCAGCCTGGAAGGACAGAACCGCAAAGCGCATGCATGTCCAGGCAGCCTCCCCTGAGAGAGACTGAGAGAGAAGGATCCACACACACAGGCAAGGCTGAGCAAGTGCCCCTCCCTCTCCCTCAGGACCTCAGCAGCCGGCTCCAGGCCTTCCTCTGCTTATGTGGTACTGGGCCTCTGCTTACGGGGCTCCTCTGCTTACGTGGCACCTTTGCAAATCATCTTCTGGGAGTCCACGTCCTCCCTTCCACCAATGGCTCCAAGTGCCTGGAGGAACCAGGGATATGGGGGGCGGGGATGGTACCACTGTATTTAAAAATCAATGTCTTATATATTATACAAATAAACATTAATTTTTTCACATCTTTTAAAAATTGGGATACAATCCCCACACCAATAATATTCACCCCTTTAGAGTGTACTGCCCAGTGGTCTGCAGTATATTCACACAGCTGTGCAACCATCACCACCATCTAATTCCTGAATATTCTTATCTCCCCAACACTGCAAACAACCTTTGGCTCCCCCTCCCTCCACAGCCGGCCACACCTTCGCTCTCTGACCTTTGGCCACTCCCAACCAGCGCCACAACCTCTCGCTCTTCTGACCTTTTGCCCCCCTTCCTCCACAGCTGGCCACACCTTTGCTCTTTGACCCTTGGCTCCCCCACCCTTCACAGCTGGCTACACCTTTGCTCTCTGACCTTTGCCCCCCACCTGCACAGCCAGCCACACCTTTGCTCTCTGACCTTTGCCCCTCACCTCCACAGCCGGTCATACCTTTGCTCTCTGACCTTTGCCTCCCCCTCCCTCCACAGCCGGCCACACCTTTGCTCTCTGACCTTTGCCCCCCCTCCCTCCACAGCCGGCCACGCCTTTGCTCTCTGACCTTTGCCCCCCCCACAGCCGGCCACACCTTTGCTCTCTGACCTTTGGGGCTTGGAAGCTACCCACCCCCCCATAAACCTGGATTACAGACGTGCAGCGGCTCCCTCCAGGGCAGAAAAGCTGACCCTTGGTCTTCTGTTAACCCGTCCTGATCTCTGGGACTGCGGGACATACATCCAAAATTAGGAAGGCAAGAATCCTCAGTAATTCGTAAAATTGCCAGCGGGGCAGGAATTCAGGTTGCCATGGGAAACCCATCTCAGGCTCCTCAGACGGTGGGTGGCAGGGAGCCTGCCCTGCCACTGAGTAAAGACCAAGTGGCAGCCCTGGCCCGGCCGCCTACGGTGATCTGCTGTTCTGTCCCCACAGGCTCCAGCTCACTGGGTCCAGTTCCTGCTCCTCTCTGGCCTAGCTGGGACCATCCCCTGCCTCCAGCACAAGCTTCTTCCGGAAGCACAGGCTTTACCAGGCTCAGCCCCATCCAGACCCCAGGACCTGCCCTGGACAGCTGGGACCTGCCTCCACCATGCACAGGGCCTCAGGCTGTCCCAACCCGCGGCTCCCCAAGCCCCTCCGGCGCAGGCAGGCGGCCGGTCCAGCAGTTAGAGCAGATCTGGCCTTCAGATCTCAGCCTTCCAGCAGAGGAGCTCCCGGTGGGCAGTGGGCAAGCCCGGCTCACTCCCTCCTCCTGAGTCCTCGGCCCGCCTGCCCGTAGAGGGGACCGCTGAGCTCTGGACCCGGGTCCAGGACTTCTCCAAGTCAAGGAATCTCTGAGACTTTCAGAGCAAACGCCTCGGGGATGGGGGTCGCTCGGACCCCCACGGGGAAGGTTGATGGGGATCTTATGCCGGGCCCAGGGTGGGAGCAGGTGCCGGGAAGGTCATCCTGGAGGAGAAGGCGGACGCCGGTCATCCCTGCCGCGTCCGGGGCGGGCTGCCCTCAGCTGAGAGTCTGTTCTGGGGCCTCGGCGCCGCCCCTCGCTACCCGAGAAGCCGCGCCATCGCCCCTTTAAGAAGGGTCCCCTTCTCCGGCCGGCGCGAAGTCCCCAGGGGCCGCAGGCGGGGGTTGTGGGGACAGGCTGCGCAGCTGTTATTCGGAGGTGGGCTGGGCCGGGGGCTGAGGGGCGGGAGGTCCGGGGGCCGGGACGCGGAGGGGGCGGGGCCGAGGCTGCAGCACGCGGGGAGCAGGGGGAGCAGGCGGGGCGGCGGCGGGGGCCGAGCGCGGGGCACCCGGAGGCCTCCTGCATAGGCGGGCACCATGGGCTCCTGCTCCGGCCGCTGCGCGCTCATCGTCCTCTGCACGTTTCAGCTGGTGAGTGGCGACCCCTCTGCGGGCCTCCTGGAGCTCCGGGTGCCCGACCCACGGCGGCTGCGGGGTCCCGGCGAGTCCCTCCGCTCCTGGGCCCATTCGCTGGGTCCTGCGCCAGCTCCGACGCGGACGCCTCGGACCCCAGGCTGCTGCGGCCGAAGGCGGTGTCGCCTGCGGGGCGTGGGGGCGGCCGCGGGTCCGGAGCGGCGGGGACAGGTGCCGGGGAGCGGCTGGCTGGGCGGGCGGGACGGAAGCCTCCGGGCGGGGCCGCCTGGACCCCATCGCCGGGAGAGGCGTGTGCGCCCCCGGGCGCGCGTGTCTCTATCTGTACGAGCGTGTCCCGCAGCCGGCCCCGGGCGCCGAGTGAGCGGCCGAGTTCGGATTCTGAGAGCCGGGTGGGGCGATGACGGAGGCTGTGCCTGCGAGTTTGCGAGTGTGGGGGGCGGGGGGTGAGAGCGTCCTGCCCACCCGCGAGCAAGCCGACCCTGCCCTACCCCGCTGCCCACCATGCCGCCCGGCGTGGAGCGGTGCGGGGGCGAGAAGGGGCTGGAGCCCGTGCCCGGGGCGCAGCGCGGGCGTCTTCTGTGTCGGGATTGGCCGGGGCTCCCTCGGCCAAGTTTCCATTCTGCCCCGAGTCCGAAGCTCCCTGGGACGCCTGGGAGGCGAATTCTCTCCCGGAGCCCGCTGTCCTCGGGGAGGGGGGAGGGGGCTGAACAAAGGCCTCACAGTCCGGGCTCGGGGGGCTGCTTTGCTTCGATGCTAATGGGCCCTGGGTCTCCCGTCTTAAAAAGGAAACGATGCTTTGTGGGCTGCGGAGCGCAGCTGGACTGCGCGCCCCCTCCTCCTCCTGGAGCTAGTAGGGCCAGAAGGGGCAGTTTCAGAGTTCTGAGCCGCAAAACCCTCGGAGTCCGCGGCTGTGCAGCTTGGGTGTCCCGTCCTCGGCTTCGGGGCACAGGCTTGCGGGCGGACCTGGGGACGGCCCAGGAGGCATTCCAGAGCTTTCCTGGGAGGCTTGCTAGGGCTGCGGAGA